AGGTGTGACCGACCACCGGTAAGCTGTCGGTCTTTTCCATGGTTTAAAAAGGACATCTTTCCATGTGAAAAAGAAACATGAAGAATGGTACTGCTGACTTTTGACAATAAGATGAATGGCCTCGAACAGCGAACTCACTGACGCCCACGTTGTGATCACGTCGACTTCACTCAAAATCAACAAGTCCAAAGCGGATCACAATCATTAAATCGCACATAATGCACCGGAATAATCTAAATACGATTGAGATGACTGCCGAGACATTGTGGTATTTGAGAGTAGCTCGACATACTGTTCCAAGGTTGGCGTTCGATACACCTACTGACCGATGTTTGACGGTCTGCCACTTCACAAAGAACCAGCTGAACCAGCAAGCCATTGTCTTAACGTCTAAAATTACCAGCCCTCCACGCTTATATAGCACGCGATGTTCTTTGGAAAGTGTCATAGAATTATCCGCATGGCCCAATTTCTCACTTTTCTGATCCACAACGCACCACACCTCCAGCAAATACGAGCATGCTGTTCCTTTCGTCAAGTATAAAAACAGCCAACATAAGACAGAGGATTCGTCTTCTTTTCTTCTTCTTAAGACACAATGGCTGCATGAGAAGTGTTGATGGTCTAACCCTCGGTCTGCGTTTTCAAAGCTTCTCATGACTTTCGAGTAAGAAGCATGTAAGACTGCCGGAAGCGAAACCTCGAACGTAAAAAACACACCAGTATTGTTCTAGTATAAACAACAGACGCCATACAATAACGACGGCAAAAAGACTCTAGCTGAGTTCTACTAACAACCAGCAGGTTGCAAACTTTCCACGAGCAGGCTCTTCAGTTCTCAGAGGATTGCACGTAGGACTCAATATCTCCTATCATTTGTTTCGCTGTGGTGCTTTCTTGCATCATGAACAGCAAGAAGTTATCATTTTATAGATACTGGAGGAGGTTAATCTGGAACGGCTTTACATGGCCACGCATCGCGCGTCGAGCCTAAGAGACCGTGGCCACGGCACTCGCAATTATTTTGAATCCCTTGTCACGTAAACACTCATTGAATCTTGCCCGGAGACTGTGGACATGACATCCGCAAGATCCTTTCCATTCCAAAAGCCTCATCACGCAATCATACACGTCTGTCCGACCCTTACCCCATCTTCTCGAAGCAAACCGACCTCGTTGACAGTGATATATGAATCCTCAACTAGACACCTAGAGAGTACATCGCCCTGCACACGTTAACCTTCAGAGTAATGATCGAGATTTATTGCTGGCTGGTAACATAGATCTACACCGCGCAGATGCACATAAAACAGGTACCTATGACAAAAGCGAGGAAGCCATGGAGGGTTTGGTTCATCACGAGGCGATACTAGAATGTCTTTGAAGCATCAAAGTCTTACTGAGGGCCTTGACGAATTACTACTTTCATCAATCAGGAAACCATCAAGTCACCGCCACGAAAACCTTCATCATGCCATCTCAAAGTCAACCCCCAAAGAAGATGGACACAACTCCAGCAACACATACGACCACCTCACAGAGCTGCGATCCTTCAAAAAGACTGATATTCCTTCAAAACCAACACGCGCGTAAACAGAGTACAAAAGTAACAAGTCCAGCTGAACACCCCTCAAAAAGCTTCGCGTCTACATCAAACCTACCCACCTCCCAACCCATCCGTGCTCTCTCCCTATACACTCATCACCCCAAGATTCCACATGCTCACCAAACTCTGCCGATGTAAAAAAAACCTACCGTTGTCCAAACTCCCTACCGATGCTGCCCTCACATAAAATTTAAGCCTCCAACCAAGCCACGGCCCGTCATGTCGTGCGACAGACACGTTCTCAAACCACGCAGGGTCTAGACCTACGAGAACACGCCTGCGGCGCTTAAGGAAACCGTGATCCCGGGGGGCTGCCGTTCCCGCCTCCAACGGGAATGAACCGGGCGGGAAGGCACTTTCAAAATCTGCAAAGGCAAAAGCCGTTGACATGTGGTGACGCCGACACTCCGCAGCTCCGTTATGCAACATCGACATCTAACCCCTCCAACCCTCCCACAGACCCAATCCGCAGGCAGAAACAGGAGGAACAAAAAGACAGATCCAAACTAACGCGATAATCAGGCAGAGAAAGTCAAGCCAAAGCCCAATCGCCCGGATAATTCTCTGCTTCACATGTCTAGCTCCGTGAGGCATTTTGCGTAATGCTTTCCGCGTCTCGGGAGTTGACCCCAATGTAATCGGCCCAGCATCGGCGCCGACACGGAGCCAGGTTGCAGCAATGCAGCCACAAAGCCACAGTAAAAGCTGAGCCAGAGAAACCAACGACCCCATCTCAAACACTAACTCAAGTTCGACGCCGATGCCTGGGTCTCGACTAAGACAGGCAGTGGTGGTGGTGTGCTGGTCCCCACTTGGGTTGTGATGTACAAGTCCGAACGCACCCAGTCGATCGGTACATCCACCGGGAGATAGGGGAGGCAAAAGAAGAAATTATTGCTCTCCTGCCCACGCCAAAGGGCAAGGAAAAAGAAAGCATGTGAAGAATGATCGACAGCGGCTCAAAAGTTGCGTCAGTGCCATTACCCCACGTTCCAGCCCCCATCGCCAATTTCCCCCTTCCCCGCGGGGTTTTGACAAGCGCGACAAGCCACTCAACGCAACCCATCCCAAAGAAGACGGTCTCCATGGCCCATGGCACGAAACTCTGCCAACCTCCATCTCGTGCGGGATGGCACATGCGATTGGAAAATGCAAAGATAAGATCTGCTTGCAAAACCGTGTTCGAGATGGGTTGAGGAAAAGTCTGTGTGTTACTTTCCTTCCACATCCATCCGCTTCGCTTCGTCGCTTGGCCTAGATAAGCGCGGCCGTCACATCGGAGACATGCATGCACTACCTTGCCTTAGCTTGACACGGCGGGCGAAGCAGCGGCGAGACTTCACCATTCCAGCGGCCTCATATACTGAAGAGGAAACACCGACGTGGAGAGCCGGGCGGACTTAAACCAGGCATCAGTCCCATCAACCGTCTGTCATGATGTAGCAGCGTCAGCAGCGACGGGTTAGATCGTAGGCATCTCGTAGACCGATGTACCCCTCCAATCCACCATCCCTTTCGGCCACCTTTGGCCGGCATATCGTTCGCGAATTTCTTCCTCTTTGTAAGATCATCCCACGATGGGCATATCTGATAATGGGACCGTTCAGCATGTGACGCTAGCACGCGCGACCATGAACCACGAGCCACCAAGTAGCGCCTTGTTTCCATTGGCCCGCTTCCTCGCCACAAGCAGAGAAGAAGAGCCTGATGGAGAAATATTCTTCAACGCTCGTGACATTTCTTACTTGCTTCAAAGAATGCCGTCCGCAAGCAGGTATGAAGACACGGGCACATGCTGCTTGGTTGTTTCCCCCCTTTGAATCTGGCCATCTCAACACGGGCAAGCTTCTCGTCTGAGCAACGCCAAAGTCCGAGTGTGGGCACATTGTCAACCTCCTAGTGGTGTTGCTGCAAGCAATCCTGCAGCATGTACGCTCAGACCTAGCCTTGCTTCTGTGCGAGGTCGCTGCGTACAGCCACGCACCATCTTGCCATCTTTCGCGGAGTAGCGACAAGTAAGACCTCGTCATTATGGGTGAACGACCACCCCAACCTCAATACTCCACCAACTGCTATACCTAGAGTGGTGGTGGTGGTGGGGAGAAAGGTTGGAGGGGTTGTGAGAGGGCGTGCTTCTGAGCTTTCTTCGGGCGATAGGCTCACGCCCTCGTGCCCGGGCCGGTCTCTGGCAAAGGCGACCAGGGCGTGCCCACATCCGTGTTTGCAGGGTCTTGACAGTCGGCCAATACTTTCTCTTCGCCAATTCTTCAGCATTTGCCAATTCCGCACTCCTCGGCCAGGTCTCGGTCGGTCCTTAAACGCCAGTGGGGGGGTATTCTGGGGTGTGTTTGCTTTGGATGACCCTCGTTCCTTGGTGCGAAATCGAAAGAGACGCTCTCCATGGCCCGTTCGTTTACGTCGTTAACCCCTCATAAAAAACAAGCGGACGACGCCGCAGCCGCGACATAATGGCTTGCTCGGACCACGATGGGGTCCATGGCACTGCCCGCCGGTATCTTGATTCTTCTCAAAGAAAACGAACCATTGAGTTGCAAGGCTGAGCCTCAACGGGCCTTGAATGCGAGAATGGAACCGAACTCTCGCTGACCTATGTACGCAACCAAAGACGGCCGAGAAACTCGAAGAATTGTGGATATCGATGCGAAAAGGGTGTCATGGCTCGGCTTAGGTCTCCGAACAGCGGCCCTCTGGGCAATGAGGCTCCCGTTAAAACGTGAATGGAATACTGTTGATCAGTTCAACGTTGTGGTGGGCGTGGGGGGGCCGGGCAACGGGCCAACGCCGTTATTGCATGACGAGGTCGGAATGGAAAGGCACGCGCCTGAGATTGGCGACGTGCTCTGCAGAGCCCTTCATTGGTGCGGACGCCTGCCACGGGCTGACACCTTGATTCTTTTCGCATGTTTGATCCCTCTGCCACAATAAGCTTATCGTCCTCCACTGACCATCTCATGTCCTCCTGCAATTCGCGGATTCACATCTCGTAGCCGACCTGATGAGGCGTCGGCTCGTCTCATGCGCAGCTGTGCCAGTTCCAAGGACGAGATGGAGGAACCTTGGTGCATACAAGGACGCGAAGGCAGCGCTGACACAGCAAACTGGTTTCCGGGGCTTTCCCTGAATCAGGATGTTGAGGGTACATGGCGGGTACTGATGTTGTACCCCGAGGTCGAGAGGCCGAGGGCCCATTTGTTGGTGGCAAGGGCCCTGGACGTTTCCTCCGTCCACAGATGGATCCTGTGTCTCCTCCAGTGTCAAGTGTGCGGATTGACAGCGAAAGCTCCTGCGGCGGTCCATCTGGCCATTACGCCCTCTCACTGCAGCTAGCGTGTTCAAGGTGAGCGAACAGCCTGAATCAATGGGGCCAAACATGTCAGCGCCTTTCTCCTGCATGCTCTGGACCTCGACAACTTTGGCTCGAGATTGCGTCTTTCTCCGAAATGGTATTCCCGTGCAAGGAACGAGAGCTCGAGGTCACATTGCATTCGCTGCAGGCGCAACGAATCAAGAAGCCGGTGGCCGCCCATTGGACGAGACCAGACGATCTGAACATCAGAATCTCGAGGCAAGGTCCAATTGGTAACTACACGTACCCTGGCGACATATTCTTCAACGGCTCAACAACGCCGAAGATGCTTGTGTGGATCGAGGGATTGCTGACGGCCAGTTGGGGGTTGGAAGGTCTTTGCCATTGTTGGTTCCGAGTCTCGCGAACCTGCATGATAATGTACGTTGAGGTCGCAGCGAACCAAGGATGGTGAAGTGGGCTCCCCCTCCTGGGCCGGGATTTTTTCGAGATGCAGGCTCTGCCATTTCCTTTCTTTTTCTTGGTTGTCGTGGTCGAATTCCCCATATTTATTTCGCTGGCAGGTGCAAGGGACACAATGGACCCTGGTCGCTGAAGAAGAGCTGGCCCGGTCGATGTCGTGATGGAATGATGCTATCCTGCGGGGATGCCTGGACACGGAGGGGAACTGCTCCAGCAGGTCCCCATCCACCCCTCCTCCCAGCCAGTGTCCTCGAATCGACGCGAGGGCGGGAAGATCGTGAGCCTGCCCATCCGGGCTTGCTACGGACAAAGTTTGCGGAGAGCAGATTGCTGACAGGCAGACGTGGCATAGCGCACAAGACTACAGGCGCGCGACGCGGCCTGGATCGTGCGAGGTGCTTCCCCGGCGGATCTCGGTTGGGGGCATGAACGACTGAGATGCAAGTTGATGTCAACCATTTCCTACCGTAACCGCAGGATCACGGTCGCGAGGCGGACCCTGACGCAGATGCATTGGGTTTTTTTTTTTTTTTTTTTCAATGGCCAGAGCTGCTGGAGATGATGCCAAGTGCTGTATTAACCCTCACAGCGCATGAAGTGTTTCTGTAGCGCGAGAGTCTATAACTTCTCTGAAATGATGATTCGAGCAACAAAGTGTCCGTCCTGCGTTACACGTCGGCGAGACGGGATGAGTATGGTACATTGTAGGCGGCGCGAAGACGACGCTGGTCCACCTGGTTGTCTCCACCATCTTCCGGCCCTGATCAGCCTCCAAGCTCTGGGCGTGCGGAGGATCGTAACGAGGGTCAGGGCTAGGGTTTGTCGTTGCAATTGAAGCTGAGGAGTTGGAGCTGATGACCTGATGTTCATGTGTTTACCCGCTGGAGAATGGGCATGGCGTTGCTGAGAATGGCACTTTGGGTGTCGGGGAGATGACGATCTGGGCATGGTGGGAACCCCAAAGGGCCGCAGGTCGCCAAGGAGTGGGTGGGCAAGCGTTGAGGTGCGGTTAAGGTGTGGTCAAGGTGAGATGAGGTGAGGCAAGGTGTACGCAGTACATAGTACTCCGTAGCTGGCGGGTGTCGAGGTGGAAGGATCTGCTTTAGACTCGGATAGCCAATTAGCTAGCTTAGGTAGCGTTGCAACCTCGTACATGTAGGTCGAAATAGAGGCTCTTGGCTCATCCGAATGTAGACTTGCCCGAGACCAACATTCCGCCAGTTCCAAGGTACGGCGAAGCCGACATATTCGAATTCTCGCTGCTGCGTGGTACGGACAGAAATGGTCGGGTGAGGTCATGGGGGTGGCAGTCATCGTGCTCGTCCGAAGCCGACAAGAAGCGCGCGTAGGTAGGTAGGTAGGTAGGGAACCTCGGTGGTCCAGCAAGGTACTTGTTGGTGGGAGGAGGTCGGTCTCAAAGCCCCCAGATCTGAAGGGGATTCAAAGACCGAGATCACCAGATGGCCCAAACGGGCAGCGAGTGGGTGGTGGTATGGTGGGGGGGGATGGCACTGCGTACGCCGTAGCTACACAGGGCACTGAGCAGGTAGTTTGTAGCGGCAGGTATCTGTTGTATTGTGCAGCAGGTTCCTTGTCTGTAGGAGGAAGTGGAGGGTGTGTTCGTACTTCCGCGGTGCCTGGGTAGGCAATGTAGGCAAGGCAATCTGTGGAGCGTTGTTGAGTGAGGTGGGAACGAACATGGGAATGGGAATGGCTTCGTCGGTTGGGCACCCCACCCCCTCTCTTTGCGATGATCCCGGTTCGCATGGGTGATGCAGACGCAGGTCCAAGAGGAAGAGGATAAGCGCGGCAGCAGGCAAGGGTGGGTTGCACTGAGGAGACATGTCCTCTTCATCTCTTTCGCCCATCCGACGGAGCTCTGCAGCCAGGACAGAGAGAGGTGCTGGTTCAGTTCCTAAAAAGAGAAACAAGAGTGCGGCAGAAGCATGGAGAAGAAGGACGCACCGAGGGCGAGGGCGCAGAGATGACATGATGTGATGATGTCGAGGCCGGAAAGAAGCTGAGATGTGACTGCCAGTGGAGAGGGATTGCGCGTTTCGGCATCGTAAAGAAAACTCTTCATTGATTATTCTTTGAAGAAGGTGTGGTGGTCACTGGTGAGTCCATCCAACCTCAGGTTGTCTACCTTACCTAGGTAGGTACTGCTGCGTTTGTTTCGCATTTGGCTATCTGGGCAGGGCAGGGCAGGGCAGGCAGGCATGAGGGAAGAACCTGCCTGCGTGCTTGCTTGCCTGCCTGCCTGCTGAGAGGAAAGAATTTGAGGCTGGAGTAAGGTCAGGACCTTCCTTGCCTTGCGGCTGTTGGAAAGAGAGGGCAAGAGAGCGAGCACGTACGGCGGAAGGTAGGTAGGTACCTGCTCAGGTCGTGGAGATACAGCGGCCGCCTGTGCGTTCAAGGGACCGCAAGTACCTCGTTCGTCCCTGCCCGTTTTCCCGTTCATCGTCGTCGGTGTCCGTGCGCCGAGCACAATGTGGCCTGTGCTTCCAGTCTGTTCCTTCCCCACCAACAACACGCTCCAGTGTCCAGTGTCCAGTGCCAGTACCAGTGCCAGTGCCAGTGCCAGTGCCGTCCGCGGGTCACATCCGTCGTCGTCGTCGTCTTCGTCCTCGCTCTTCGCTGTTCAAACTCCACCGTCCTCCACGTCCTCCAGTGTCTCGTGCACTCTGCCACTCTCTGACTCTCAGCAGCTCCAAGGGCCCAGATCGTCGCGGGCATCGCTATTCCACACCCAAAACATACAATCATGTTCCTTGCCCCTCGTCTACAAGTCCGAAAAAGACAACAAATTGCCGTGGCGGCGGAGCCTGGTATGACATGTCAACGACCGTGCGCACGACGGCAACATCAGTCAGTTCCAGAAGGGTGTGCCTCCATCGACCGGGCTGCCCATCGGACGGCCTGGCTTGGCTGGCAGGCAGTGAAGATGGCAATCAATGCCACGGCCACGGCGCGGCATCTTATCATGGCAGCACGATGCAGACGCAGACGCAGACGCTGTCGCAGACCCCGATGCAGATGCAGATGAGAGAGGCTAATAACCGTCTTATCATCATCAACCATTCACTCGTTCCAGCCACGCTAGACATTCCATCGCGCTCTCGGCGCCTGTGGCTCCTAGCTCCTCGTCTCAGGCCCGCTCGTCCGATCCCATCCTGTCCGTTGGCTCAACCGTCCTCGTACCGTCCTCGTCCTGCCTTTCGTTTCGCCCTCGTCCATTTACGCCGTCTCTATTACTGACCCTCTTGACACAATCGGGGCCTGTCAATATCGGAGCCATGGGCAGACTATTTTCTTCCCTACGGATCCTGTCCGGCGGCAATTCTCTTCGTCTTGCTACCGCGCCGCAATTCCGTCTATTTCCTGCCCTGCGGGCTTTCGCCTGCCGTCATTCCTAATGCGTCTTGACTCGTGCCGTCGCATTGGTTCGTCCTCCGTCACCTCACAATGGAGCGTGTGGCACCATCAAGTTGGAGAAGACCTGCCAACAAACCAACAACAAGAAGCAAAAGAGATTTTTCCTCCCCTCGACCACCGGCCTTAGTCAGTCCTCGCAGCACACTGTGGTGTCGCGACCAACCATCACTGGCCTGTTGTTGCTCACTTCTCATTATGGACGACGGATTGGCATTGGCATTGACAAGAAACGACAGAATACTCCAACCTGTGGCCATGATTCAAGACGTTGCAGGCGTTGCAGAACCCCAAAGCACAAGGCCTAGGACTTCCTTCACGCCGCAAACTCCCTGTGCTTAATACGTCTTCTCAACTTGATTGCGACACACACGCACACGACTCATCTCAAATTCTACACACACGGCTGCCAGGATTTCAGCCCACCAACTCAGCCCACACAGCACCTTATTAGTTCGATTTCTGTGACGACCGCTTGCATCTCTAACATATCGGCTCTTTGGAAGCCCGGCTTCGGGATGCACACAACCACCCACGAAAATGAGACATTGAGCAGTGAGCTCTTTTATTTCTCTTCCCCACAATGCCGCTTCCGATCTGTTGCAGCTCTGCAAAGACATCAAGATACGCGCGCTCTCGACTGTATCATGTCGTGCGTGTCTCCATCCGACTGCCCCCATCCCGACGTGCGATGTCTAGCATAGACTACATCTAGCCCCATATAAGAGGGGTCGGGAAACACAGATCCATATTAATCGAGTCGAGCGCGAAACACGATCAGATTGGAATCAGGCTCACCTATGTCATCAATGGACCTCTTTTCGTCCACCTGCAGCAGCATCAGGGCCAGGGGTACGAATGGGAGGGAGGGGGAGGGGCAACCCAGGCATGCTCGAGAGCATGGGAGCACACGGTGGGCTGCTCGATAACGTAAACAAGGCCGCCGGACGGTATCCCCAGTCCGTCGAGAAGGCTGCCAAACCTCATCTCTTGACCTCGAAGCCTAGCTTCCGATGTCTTGATTGGACCGTGTGGTCTGGCCATCTCATCTCACCCATCCACCCATCACGACTCGTCTTCGTACTCCTAACGAACCAACATCCGGTACCTGCTAGGCACAGCTCTTTTCGTCTTGTGAGTCGGGCCACCCTCTTCTTTCCGACAGCAGCAGTACGGTTTTTCGATCCAAAGATTGCCGGCCTGCGGGGTTTTTACGTATATTCAAGTCGTCACCTGCCTGTTCTACCCGTCGAGAGTGGAGACGGGAAACCTTCAAGTATCTGAGTCCGGCCGCTTAGTCTGGAGAGCTCTCGTCCTGATCGAGCCAAGTCTCGAACCGTTCGATGGGCTAGTAGGGATGGAGGGGTGTGTGAGATCTCTCAACCACCAGCCACGAAAAAAGAGAGAGAGAGAGAGAGAGAGTACGCGCACCATACATCCTCTTTACCAGGCTAGCCCACTCCCAATCAGCCCGCCACTGAGACATTGTGCCACAACCTACGAAGAACGACCTCAGAGTCAGAGAGGCACATGGACTCTCACGATTCGGTAACAACAACACCACCACGAAACAAGAGTCCTGGCAACAAACGACCACCCGCCAGTGTCGTTGTCATCCACAACGGTCGTCTCTATCCACAGACCGTTGTGGATGAGCCGGATGAGCCAAATACCCATCAAATAGAGCGGAGACAGGCCCGGGCCAAATCCCTCCTCCGAGAGCCTCGTGCTTCGTCGGCAATCTGTCATCCACACCCTTCCCCCTCCCCGTCCCCTCCCCTTCCTACCTTAGCTGGTCGGAACCCCACCAAAGCTGGGAAGCAGAGACGTCATGTAAGACAACGACACTGGAGAATGACACCTCCACACCCAAAACCCACCACCACCTTCCCATCCGTGACGACCGTAAACGAGGCGCATGAACATGGCACAGCCGTGGGATTTCCCCATCACCCCCCAGAAAGGGTGATATCTCTCCCTCTCACGAACCGGAGATTTTTCTCTAGCTGGCACCTGTGGCTCCCCTTACCCCCCATGCTGTGTAACCCGTCATCGTAGCAAACCAGATATCGCGGGTTCCCCGGAACCGCGTCTGCTGCGCGTATCATCGATAATTATTGGGGGCCATGGGACATTCGGAACCTCATCCCCGGACATGGATACGAAGACGCAGTCATCTGCTGTGTAACGGCCCACCGCGTGGGAAGGCACGATACCTTGCCTTGCCTTGCCAGCCTTAGTCCGATCGGGGAGGGGGGGGTGTTCGTTCCCGAGGAGAAACAAGCAGTACCAAGTAGCAGCAGCTGGTCGATCCCCCAGTTCGTCAACGCGGACGTCGTGTGCTAGGTTGATGATGTTCGTGTCCCCCTATTGGTTCGGTAGATCACATTTCTCCTTTGACAACTGCAGCTTGCCGTGACATGACGAAGTACCTGCCGTGACGAAATATCATCATCATGATCATCATCTCGAGCATGGTGTTTTGATGAAAATTTGGTTTGAAGGAAAATAAGCCCGGCCGAACATCACAATCATCGTCTCACGCATGGTGTTTTCATGAAAAATAGTTTTGAGAGTGCTTTCATTTCTTCACAGTCTACCGAAAGCCTATCGTCTGATGAGAGAGAGGAGAAAACCATGAAGTAATAATAGTAGTAATAAGAGACCATATGGGTCTAATGCTTCTTCTTCTCTCTGTCTGTCTGTCTCGCCTCTTTTTTGGTTTCGCAATGGATAACGGAAAGAAAATGCCGCCGTTCTTTGGAGGTCTTTGGGGGAAATATAAAAGTCAAACTGCCTGCCCGCCCGCCGTGCGATGCCCTTCCCGCTATTCTTTTCGGGAATGATGAAAAACCGGAAAATGAACAGAAACAGAGAAATAGAGAAATCACAAAGGCCAACGATCCACCGTTTCCCTTCCCCCCCTTTTAGTTTTTGGCAAAAAAAGGTAGAGAGAAATTTCCAGAGACCAAAATCGTCTCCAGAAACAGATCACCAAACCCATAACCCTCCCTTCTGTCCTCCCATGCATGCTGCTTCAAAGATGCCATGGATGATTATGATCCGACACACAATGTTGCTGTGCTGTGGTTCCGTTTCCGTATGCGATCGACCGTGTGTGTATCCATCGTAGAAAGAAGAAAAGAAAGAGAAGAAAGGACAACACAACTTTTTCCCCCGCCTCAGTAACCTTTTTGGTGGGTGATTTTGTTTTCCGGTTAGAAAAAAGGTCGCAAGAAAAGGCGATGATGTCGCAGTCGAAATGATGACCGCGACCAAACGATCCTCCCATGTTCCCTCTCCCGAAAAGTAGGGAGTCACCCGGCCAGAGTCCCGTTTCACCTCTGGCAAATTCCATTCGTTGCAAATTCATAATTCGTAAAGTGAAGGTCATGCTTTCGTTAACCCGAAGGGTGCTCCAGGAGCGAGAAGGTGACGTGAGGCTTGATGCCCTTGGCGGGATGGGTGTTCATCCGGACAGCCTGGGGTCTGCGGGGCTCCTGCCACTCGGAGACCACCTTCTCGGTCATGCGGTAGCGGACGAGGTCGCCACCAGGAGGAGTGGTCAAGCTCATGGCGCGCTTGGGACGAGGAGTCAGACGGATGTCATCGTTGGTGTCACCGTCGGCTCTGCTGCCCCAGGAGGTCTGTGTTGACAAGGTGTTAGCTAGACTGGCAACGAAGAACAGCATGCATCAAGAACGATCACTCACCATCTTGAGGGTAGACAGAGCGTAGAGCTTGATAAGACCGTGGCCCCAGCCAAAGACGATGGAGACGGGCAGGAACATGAGGTCGCTGGGGTTGCGGCGGAAGAGTCCCATGAGCTTGACGACCTTGGTGAAGCCGAAGACAAAGATGATCTGGGCCCACAGAGCCTGCTTGCGGCTCTCCATGTCCCAGTCGGCGGTACCCTTCCACAAGGCGAAGATGATGAGGGGGTCGAAAAGGAAGGCCAAGGACGTGAAGGTCGCAATGTGGAGAGCGTAGGTGCACCAGGGCTGCTGACTGCATTCGTGATTGGTTAGCCTTCTAAGACATCGATGCAAGGTGCGGCGCAGATTTGGGATGAGCAGGGATTGGGATCCTTGCTCATTGGTTATGGAGGGGAAGAAAAGAATTGCACTCACGTAAGGACGTATCTCTCCTTGACAAGGCTGGTCCAGTTGCTGCGCCAGTTGCTGCGAGCCCAGCGGGAGCACTGGTACAGGAACTTGGTGCTGTTCTCGAGAGTGGTCTCAAGCTCACACTCGCGCTCGTACTGGATCCAGGTCTTCCACTGGTGGCTGACGAGCCAGCGGGTGACGAAGTTGTCGTCGTCAGCGTTCAAGATGTACTTGCCCCACTTCTCAGTCTTGAAGCCCTCGAGGAAGTCGTGGCTGGAGAGGATCTCGGAACGGTAGGCGCCGGTTCTGCCAGACATGCAGGAAGTGCCGCCATCGATGTTGTGGGTGGCGGAGATCTCGAAGTTGCGACGCTCAATGTAAGCAGCGCCGAGCCAGTTGTAGATGCGAGTGGACCAGTCACCCTCCCAGACGCGCTTAACTCTCTGGCAGGTGCCGACACCACCGATCTTGGGGTCCTCGAAGGGAGCGAGAATCCAGGGCATCAGAGTCGAAGGCCAGGTGACATCGTCGTCAGCCATGATGGTGATCTTGGTGGTGACCTTGGGAAGAGCCTCGCAGACCTGGAGGCGCTTGTTGGCGATGGGAGTGGAGTAGACCTGGACATTGGGGTGAGGAAGGCTGCGAGCAAGCTTCTCAAGAGCAGCGTGCTTCTCAGTGGTGGTGACAAGCATCAGAACGTGAGGGTTGCAGGCGAGGATGCTGAGAAGAGAAGGACGGAGCTCCTCGAAGACATTGTGAATGGTAGGGATGATGACAGTCACGTCGTCGGCAGTGAAAGTCGGCTTGCTGGGAATGGGCTTGGACTTGTAGACCCAGTGGCTGACGCAGTGGACGAGCAGACGGGTGTATCGGTGAAGCCTTGAAAATTGTCAGCGGAAAGAAGCTTGAGAACAAATTCAAACACCACGGGCAAGTGAAAAATCCAGCCGGATGGTTCTGGCAGGTGAGGCAGATCGTGAGAAGGAAGGCGCGCTTACCAAAGGGCGATGAAGAGGTACATCCAGGCGCTGGGGGACCAGCCAAAGCCGAGATTCGGCAGGAAGATCTCCATGACGGAAGCCATGGTGATGAATTTGTTGGTTTGTGAGTGTGTGATACTGGGGGAAGGGGGAAGTCTGAGGAAGATTGTTGAAGAGGGGAGGAGTGGTTGTGAAAACCTGCGAGAAGAAGTTGCAGGTTGCGGTGGTGAGTTGTTGTGTGGAGGAGGAAAGGCTTTGTTTTTTGTGTGCGCCTTCTGAGAGAAATATTTAAAAGAGGTCTCGGTTGCAGGTGTGCGTGCCGGTCCTTAGCGTGCCTTCCTTTCAAAGGTCGTGGTGGTGGTGGTGAATTTTCGAGTTGCCTCGTGGCCGGTGGTGGTTCCTGCCGTTTTTGATGGTGCAGAGGTCGTCGTTCTCGGGTGAAAGAGACCCACTTTTGAGGTGAAGAATCTGAGGTGGTGAATTCGGCAACCACGCTTGAGAGCTTCCTGCAGCTTCAAGACAGTGTAAATGCCTGGAGATGGAGTGTGAGAGGAGGAATCAGGACACTAGCTCCCAAAAATTCCCTGTTACCAGCAAGGTATTACGCTCGTAGGCCAACAGCGGTGGATGATGGGATGGGTGGTAGTCGAGATTTCCGGGGGAGGATCGTGCCTCTCTCTCAGGTCGAGTAGCTTGCTTCCAAAGCCTCTCTCGCGTCTCGTCTTTTCGCTCTCGCTTTCTGTCTTCGCTCTATCTCTCCAAGTCTCTTCTTCCGTTCTGTCTAGAAGGACCCAAGCGATCGAAGTGGCAGATCGGACTGTTAGAGCGCCTTGTCTGCGTCCGTTCAAGTGTGTGGTATCAAAGAGTGACACGGGCAAGACGGATGATGTCCAACACCCAAGCCGCGTGTATGGGTTGCTGGAGGAGGAGGAGAACAAGGAAGAGGGTCGAGGAGGAGTCAAACAAAGGTATTATACAGAGATGAAAGACGACAATGGAAACTCAGACCATTGCGCGGACCAATTGGTCTTTTAAAAAACAACAATGACCCAAGGGAAGAAGTGATGAAGTCGTCCGAGGTCAGAAGAGCTGGGCGAGGGACAAGGCAAGGATATATAGCCAGATGTGGTCGAGGTGGGTTGCTAGCCATGCCATGGGTTGTCTGAACAGATGCACCAGTGCATTAAGATGGTGCTGCTCCCCCATCCAAACAAGGTCATAAGTATATGATAAGTACGCATGGAGGTGTCTAATGTAATGGGATGGATGTATGGAGTGCTGTTGTCTAACGGACGGCAAGTCGACGGGTCTGAAAAGGTACCTCGTCTAGACTGTCACATCCTCGACTTTTCGACTTTCTTAGCAGCTACACCACACTTGAGAAGGCAGTATGCATCACGTTCATCTGTAAGGGTATTGGAGAGGGGGAGGGGGAGGGGTGGTCGGCGGTTGTATCGGGGGTGGAATGGGGGGGCGTGTGTCGGCCGTGTGGGCGTTGCAGAAAAAAAGAGGCAAAAGGCGCGTTAAATCGACATCTCTCCTATGCAGACCCCGGCAAGGGTTTGGTTTGGAGGATACATGGCAGGTACTTGCGCGTACTTGGAGGGGAAGAGTCCACCCACACGATACAGGTATCTCTCTCTCAGTGTCTTTTACTGCCCTCCCACACACAACGAGTGCCCTCTCTGCCTGCCTTTCCAGCCTGCGTCTGCCGCTGCCGCTACCACCACCACTACTGCCATGTATGCTGCAAGTCTGCTGCCTCTTGTCTCTAAGATGGGCTGGATTGGCGACCGGCTAGGCTTGGGCTGGGGCTTGTGCTTGTGCTGGGGTTGTGGATGGGGGACCCAGAGGCTGGCTTTTGTGGCTCCGTGTTGGGACGACGCTTCTTTAGCAGAACAGTCAGATAGGCCCTGGTATTGGCAGGTTTTTTTTCTCCCGGTTGACGCATCGCATCGGCCTGGCATCAGCACTTGCGAACAGTAGCGTACCGATACGTTCTTGCATAGCATGGTCTTGGTTCCCATCTCGTCAACCTCACCACCGAGAAGTGAGTCTTCGCTCCCGTCGTGCGCCGTCGACCGGCACGAAATGGCAACGGAAGCAGGTTTGGGGGCCACCAGGTGCCTTGCCCTGCCCTGCGCTTCCCATCTCCCCTGGTCATTACCTAGCTTCGACAATGGAGTCAACCACGGAACACGGACCACGGGCGGCGTCCTAGACCCTCGATCCTCGACCCTAGGTTGGAACGAAACGATAATACAGGTAAGCAGTCAGAGGCGGCTGGAGCTGCTGGTCCCTGCTCGCCTCTCTCTATTTCCCTTCGCTCCTGTTGGCCCCCATTGTCCTATGGACGGACGACTGGGGAAGCGCGAATCACAGGGCGGAGGCGATCTGGTGGGGATGGGAGCGAAACGACCGCGGCCTGTGGAGGCTACGGATAGAGAGGAGACGGGCCTGAAGAGTTGAGAGGGGCAGCGAGGACGAGGAGGCGACGACGGGCGACAAGAAGAGGTTAGCAGCTTTTTTGTTGGATGGATGATACCTGCCAGAGCCTAGTGTAGCGCGCGAATAACGCCATACCCTGCGCACCAGGGAGGGTCCTTTTGCTCTTGGTTGGTGACTGTTCTCCAGTCTCCGTGGTTGAGCGGCTAGTTGTTGTGGAAAATGGCAGCACGGCGAGATTTGGAGATCCACTGCTCGGGTGGGCAGATTCCATCATTCGTTTGAGTACGACCGGCCATCTGCACATCCAGAGACAAAGGTGGGGAGCAGACGCCTGGAGGAGCTGCTGGCGACAAGGACCAGGAACAGAGCCTTTCCGTCGATGGTGTTGCAAGATACCTGGCCCGGAAAAGACACAGGAATTGACCTGGTCAGTTGCAGCAATCGAAGAAGAAGGGAGACATGGATCTCGCCTAGACAGGCTAGATGGTGTCAAATCAACTGGCCGGAGAATTGCAAGAGAAGAGGACCAGACGAGCAGACGGGCAAGGGAGACGAAACGAGATGAGAGAAAAGATGGGATTTCGACAGCAACAGCAGCAGGCCACCAGCAACGGCAGCAGCTAATTCCAGGCAAGCCAGCAAGCATCCATCAGTAAAAACAGACAGCAACATGGACGGGCTGGCAATGCGACTGGCACCTTTAGCCGCAGGCCCGCAAAACTTGTGGTGGGAGGGGTAAAATCCTGTAGAAAAATTGGAGAAACAGGAACCTCCACGCAGCAGCTTCGTAGCTATTCGTAGGCGTGAGGAAGGCTCGCGCGCACTGACGAGACCCTGGCCCGAAAATGGCCTGGGCCATTGTCAAGACCCCCAGTTTTCGCATCTGACAAACGAGCGGACGGCGTGGAGTCAAATCGAGCGGATGAACAAGCATTTGCGCTGCTTATTATGGATACTCGTCTCTTGTCTGGCCCATTATCAAGCAGAGACCAGACCAGACTGGGACAAGCATGCCGCCGCACGTAGCGGAGCGGAGGCACGCAGACTGTCCGCTACGGCTTGCGTTTCTCTGTTTCTTCCTCAGCCTCTGCTACTAGCCTGGGGGGGCGGGGGCTGTATGCGTATCTGTATCTGTCTCTCGTCTGTATCTCGTAAGATGGCATTCGTACCCGTACCGCGCAACTTATCTCTCTCGGACCTGCAGGTGCCTCGACTGATCGATCCTCCGAACAGACCGGGACGCTTCTCGCGTCTTTCTTGTCTCCCTCTTAATTCCAGCCTGTCTGCAACGGACATGGCTTTTGCTCTCCACCTTGGAGATTATCGAGCGAGGATGAGAGCATCCGTAGAGAGGGTGTGTTTGTGAGTGTGTGTGCGCGTGCGTATGTGCATGCAGTAAGTGACGCGAGGTGTGCTTGACTATTGCAGTTCAGAGCAACACCGTACAATGCAATACAAGTCGTGGTTGGATGGCTTTTGCTGCTCTGACGATTCTGATATCTGATGAATGGTGCAGACAGAGCAGTGGCAGACGCAGCGCCGTTACTTTTGCACTCGCATTCTTCAGTCTGACCTGCCATATTCCGACGACAGGACCGACAGGGTTGACGTTCCATGATGGCCATGATCCTTGCCTTCCCTGGCCGGGGCGAATGCTGTTTTGGTGATGATAACGGGCCCCGGGGTTAGCACTTGCAAGAGGGCGCGAATATTTCCCGTAGTCTGTAGATCGCCATCCCCAAGGTTGATTGACTTTGACCAGACGTTGGACCGAGCAAGCGAAGAGCCACCAAAACCCCATGCTTTGTCGTCCTGCGGAGCGAGGGCTGCGGCACGGCGGTGGAGATTTGATATTTGAGTCTCCATCAATCAACTGGTCCGTAGTTTCCCGTCTCATTTCTGCTGGTCTTCGGACGACATGGAGGCTATTCTTGCCAGAGGTCCGGACCGGATGCACAGACAAGCCCAGCCGGCTGTTTCTCACACACACGATCTACATGCCCTTTGACTTCACCCGTGCCGTCCGAGTGCGTGTGCGAAGGATAGTACAAGCCAGCGTAGGCAACAAAATCCGCAAGTCAGGCATGTGCTTCGCGCTTTTCGTGCGAGGCGGGAAGAAAAAAATTGTCAAAAGGTAGTATGTGCCGCTGGATTTGGCTTGTGCCGGCCGCTATCTCGGGGTCCCCCTCATTCAACTGACCACCACATCGAGCTGGTGTGTCCTGCAGCTGCAAGCCATTGAAGCCGTTAACCTGATGGGAAAGACCTAAAACTGCGAATTGCGTGCATCTGCGTGAGACAGTGATCAGTCCATCACACCCACGTTTAGACCTGACATCAGAAAGCACTTGCATGGTGTAGGTGCAAGACGGCAAGGACGAGGTGTGATGAATAGATTAGGTGTGGTGTGTAGCGCCAAGTTGCGGACTTGTTATTCTGTCATGATCTCGATTACATGCGAGGGGAGGGCTCGCAGGACGAAGCCTTGCTGTATAAGGACAGAAAGACGTCGTGCCTTTACCCAGACGAGATAGGGATCCGTTAGGGTCTGCTGGAGATGATCGGGGCATGGGCTTGCGTTAGGTAATGCGCTGCGGAGGATCTGGATGGACGGGATGGAACGAGACAAGAACAACGGTGTTGGGACTCGTAGTCGGAGTTGTTGGAGGTAGCAAGGCGAGTGAAGGCGAAGAGCGGCCGGGGCTGGGTCGATGGGTGTGGCTATCTTGCTGGGTGGGCTTCGATTGTGGATGGTTGGGTGGCAGCCGGATCGGCCATTCGGCAACGGCTGCCACATGCGGATGTCCCGTTTTGTGAAGCCGTTGTCTTGTTGCATGATACAAGCAAGCCCGCCGTTCGAGTCTGGCAGGAGGAGAATAAGTCCGGTCGTGCCCCTCTTGGCCGAAGGGCATTTGCGGTCTCAATCGTGATTGGAAGCGTCACGGAGCGACGGAGAGACATTCCTTGGGTGCGGGCGGGAAGGTGGAATAACGTGATGGGATGTGATCAAGACTAGCATTAGCATTAGCATATGTCCAGCTGCATGGACAAGAGGGCTGTTGTTTTTGTGAGTTTTGAGATGGCAACGGGCGTGACTTACTGGCTTACGATGGCTCAGAGGTGTTGGAGGCGGGTTGACGAATGTCTCGGACCAATTTAGTTGGGGAAGAAACGAAGCTTGCCTTAGCGCGATGTTGATGGATGCGATGGGAGGGCTGCGAGAGGACATGGAGAGGGCCCTGAGCGCTTCTTCCGTTGGCCATGACGGAATGTGAGAGGTGAGGCGCTTGCAGATTGACTCAGCCATCCGAAACGGCATCTGGAGTGACAGACAGAGAGACAGGTCCAGGCCAGCATCGACCTTTCCGCCTTCCAGGTTTCCATCTGTATCCGTACCTACTTTACCTACCTACCGACCAACCCAAGGTAAGGCAACAAAACAAAGGTTACCTGCCTCGGTGAAGCAGAGCACTTTCCCATGGCAACGGAAGTGCGTTGGTTGCCGCCTCGGTGTGATGGGATGGATGCATAAAGTACGGGATCAGGTAAGGTAGGTCCTGCGTAGAATTCCAGAACACAGACTGCGGATGCAAGACCGATAGACGGGCAACCCAAACGCGATAAGGTAGGCACGTCCAAGATGGTTCCTGCCTCTCCTGCCGAAACCCAGCATTCCTACCCCGGAGCCACCTGCCTGAGGTGAAGCAAGGTGAGGCAGGTGCCTTACCGAGGCCAGGGATGGCAAGCACGACGACGTGTGTTCCTGCTTAACCTCACAGATGCCTCTCCACCTCCACCCAACCCAGCATCACGACCCCAACTACCTACCTTACCTTCCTTACCTACGTTACCTTAAGTTACCTTAAGGTAGGTAACTAGGTGTACCTCATGTCTGCCCGTGGTGATGGGTGATGGAAGGTGCACCGCGACCTGCTATGGATTGCTCCTTCCTCCCCAAGCAAGTGCCTGCCTGCCTGCCTGCCTGCCTGCCCTTCGTCGATATTCCCGTCCCCCGCCCGCCTGCCCTGCGCTTCAAGCGTGCCGCGGAAAGCATCCCGTCGCCCGTTGGTGTTGCCAAATTAATCTCACAAGGATTCTTTCTCCCGCCGTGCCCACAAAATGTTTGATGCAAATCATCATCAACGGCACACGCGCACACACGACGCACACCCTTCCTCTCCTCGTTGATTGACACGAGCCGTCACTTCTCCCAGGCATGTTCAATGTCTCTTCTCTTGGCCTGCTTCGAGCATGGAGAGGCGTAAGGGTACCCTCCAGTGTACGAATATGCATACCTTACGGACCCGGATGCATTGAGATAGGGTCGTCGGACAGCCTTCTCCACGAATGCTCCCTTCCCCTTGCTAAGGTACCTCGGGCTCTGCACGACCTTCCTCCACGCTGTCTGTCAGGCGAGGTTCCTGACTTGGGGTTCTCCCGTCGACTGCTCCGGAGTTGCTCCGGCGAAGCCATGTCGGCTCCAGTCTGTCCCGTCAACTTCGACCGTCGACGGCAGCGCCCCGGGTCTTATCACGGGCTTCGATTGATTTGCCGTGCCCACAAAAGTTCCCTCCATCGTGCTTCGTCGCACGACCTGGTCTACCTCAAGTCAAGACATCCTCGTACTTGGTCCATGAACATGTTTCCAGCCTGAGGAAAGCCGTGCTGTGTTGTCGCCAACGAGCCACCATCGTTGACACGCACAGGTGCCAGATTTCTCGTTGCCCTGCCTCGGCCACTTCTCCCGTACGCAATGGAACTCGGCGGCCGCATGCGCCGTTCGGCAACATGGGGGTCTCAATGAGCCCCCCGGAGGGTCCCATTCGTTGTTGGCGAGTCTGGCCCTCGTCAACGGGATGCTTGTCGCTCAATGTCCGTACCTGGCTACAGAAAACGGATACTGCAACTGTACCTTGCCTTTCACGTCCAAAAACCATGCGACAACGCATCCATCGTCCGTCTGTGGATATTCGACAGAAATTGCTCGCGAGAAAGATCCCCAACCCGCCTTCTCGCCCACGCTACATCGTCTCTTCTGATACTCGACCATGTCCCTCCCTTCTCGTCTACACAACTTCCTCGTACCTTGGACGGTCGATGACCGACACGGGTGTGGGCTAACAAAGTACCTTGCCTTGCCTACAGCAGCAGCACTTTGAATGCTACGCCCTCTGACACTCACCAGCAGGCAGCGTGGAGTCAGGGCATGGTGGGATGCGCCTGGCCCCATTGGGAACTGCTAAAGTCCACCACAGATCACCGTCACAGGGAAGCTCGACCTTACTTCGCAGTAGCTTGACATTGCGAGGTGGGCCGCCATGGACAAGCCGTACGCACCGGTACGATGCCACTGGATGCTATTCAGCTACCTCGTCTTGGCTGGCATCTGATCCCACCACATCGCCAACTGTATTCCGTCATCCAATGGCCTCTGCTGCCGTCAATGGCGAATTGATCGATCTGCTGCTCTGCAATCCGCCCGCCACCGTCCCAATTGCTACACCATCTCAGCTTGCTCTGTCCAGCCGCACCGCACCGGACGCTGAACCAACGCCAGCCGCTTGCACAAGAGTTTGCATGTCGCTACCAGCCGGATTTCCAGAAACTTGAGACGGGCCCCCAATGTTTGGAAACTATGGCTTTGTCCTTCCATCGTCTTCTGTCATGATTGACACGGCCCCGGGCGGAATGCAACTTGCGCGGCCGCTGAATCAGAGCCGTCACTCTGTCCTTACTGCCGAGGCGCATCGGCAGAGTTGCCCGCGCCGGATTGCCTGTCTCTATTGATATACAACGAACCACATTGGCTCTCCGCACGACCACGAATCGATCCATTATGCATAAAGCCCGCTCGCTATCAACTTCAACAAGGCATACTTTGACACGATATACCCGTCAAGTAAACAAGTCGGAGCTCAGTGGCCACGACGAGTCATGGCCCCGTCGAGTGAGCGCGGCCAGCCAGCCTACGATTCCGGCACACTGCGGGACCTGCTCCTCATCAGCGCTCCCGCAATCCGCACGCCTCAAGACCGAGCCGACGCCAGCGGAACCCCCGTCTTGGAGACATCCGGCCTAGGATCACTGAGTGTACGACAGTACTTACAGCATGCATTCAGCCCCCCTCCCCAGTTGCCTGCCTGCCCAGCCTCGCTATCTCCCTCCACACTGCGACCAGGCTCTTTTTCTGCAACTGGACACGCTCCGGTCGCACCCAGGACCCGTAGAGCTATTTACTTGGCTACGTTTTGCCGGAAAGCAAGGCTTTTTTCCTGTCGCTAGGCCGAGGTGCCGAGACAGCAACAACAGCATTGGTACCAACAGTGTCACACAGTAGGATATCATTCCTACCTTCAGTACTAAGAGGCGATGGAGAGCGTAAAAGACACGAACAATCGAGGCTCATTTCTCATTTCACATTGGAGCTCTAGCCAGCAGGTTATGGAGACGTCAAGCCCCGGGCAGAAGATCGTCTGTTCCCTTGTCTATTTAGAGCGCGAATCGCGACTGATACTCTGGGGCAAGCGGCCAGGGACTCCCCAGAATGTTTTAGCCTCTTCGGACACAGTCCATGGGCAGGTACCTAGGTATGCCTCAAAGAGGCGTGCTTGAAGAATGGCCGCCGTCCGGTTCGGATGACACACGGACCAGAGCACGGAGCAGGCGTTGTCAAGCAAATGCCAAACGTAGAGGAGTCGCTGGTTGTCAGATCGGCCGCCATGCACTCGCAACCACTCAACTGCAAGTCGCACTCTCATACTTCCACGACCAGCGTTGCAACATATCCGGCGAAAAGGTTGTCTTTTGCAGGAAGCTCGGCATGCTTCTTAACAACGGAAGCATTGCACAATAATCAAGTTTCCAAGGCAAACAAGCCCACTCTGGAGCTGTTGGTGGAGGTTGCATAGGGTGGAGGGAGGTGACACACGCTCACTCACTCGTCCTGCTTCGTCGGATGTTTCTTCAGGGTCCACTATGTTACTTGCGCCCACACGCACCTTTCGAGAGACAGCATTCAAGCTTGAGCCCACTCGGAAAACTCTGCATGGAATCGCGGCATGAGTATGCAGACTATCAAACTGCCAGGCGACTCCATTCCGGACTCAGACAGAATGGCCTCTATCACTTTGTGAGCTGTCAAGTATCGACAGTAGGCTCGTGTTTAGAACGCAGGTGCCGCCCGTGTTCCGCGTGTGTGTGCTCTCTTGAGTCTCAACATGCTGACACTCTTCTCGTACAGAACCTCAATGACGCAGCTTCAGACTAAGACAGAGGGCGAGACTGGCAAACTTCATATCTTGACGTCTGACCTGACGACAGCATGTGCAGGTCCAATATTGACTCTATGGCCTGATCAGATCGCGATCTGATGCGACCAAGCTGGAGTAAGATCAGTCCTACCACGAGCTCCTCACATCTCAGCTGCTCGGCCGTCTCCACAGTGTCAGGTCCCTGCACAATGCAGTTTAAAATACTCGTCTGGCAGGCTTCTCATCGCTGATACCGGCCGTGCAGCCAACCGTTATGGTTGCCAGCGTCGGAACTGCGGGCGAGTTGCGCCGGCAGACCCGGCGTGCTGCAAGCCGGCATTCGTCAACGGTCGAAGCCAAGAAGCGAGGTCACGGAGCCTAGAACGTGGTTTCCTTGGTCGAGAGGCGCTGGAACCGCTCCCAAACTGCTGGATATCCATGGTCTGATTCTCGCTGGAAGAGACGCACTGGAACCCCCGCCTGCGTGTTTCGCCCTGGCCGGCAGCCTCCTATCGATGGCTCACAGTATTTTCATCCCGAATGACCGGTCCATTCGAAGGATCCCCAAGCATATCGCAATCATCTCTGGAAAGCATACAAGTGGGCTAAAGCATGTACATTCTCGTAATGGTCCTGCTTACTGTGACCTCTTGCAGTGTCTTTTCATGCAGCAGCCTTCTTGTTCCGTCATTCCTGCCCAGCCAAATTTTACCCCCGCGGCTTATGTGATGGTGTCCTAAGGATTCTCCGTCATCATACGTCAGGCCCCAGTCCCTTGGGTGCGGCGGGGAGTGCCTTGGGTGTCCTTCTCGTGGAAATCTGGGCAGGCTTCACTTCCACATTTGGATGGTCTATACACCCACGCGGCCTGCGATGGATCCAGGCCCTGATGACAACCCAAGGTGGGAATGGTGAAATAGTGCGGGAAGCATGCTTCGGGGAAGCAGGAAAGCACATTCCGGAGTGGGCGATCTTGGATGATGCGCATACAAGTACATCCTCCCAGTCTCATGCACCGTTATTGCTGTCAGTCTGCTGGCTAAACAGAACTGCAGGTCCAATCGTCTTTGCTGGAACATACTGACGCCGCACAAGCTGCAGAGGCCAAGGAAACTCTTCTGTGAGCGAGATTCCCCTTCCAACTCCGCTTTGTCATTATGAACTCAGTTATCCGCGGCGTTGGAGTGCGTACACGCTGCTGCATACGTTGCAGCGTCGTGAGCTGTCCAATCTCTCTAATGCAAGTCTCACAGGGTGCAAGGTCCAAGGGTCGATGCGGCCTCGTCCATTTGGTAGTCCAAGATGAGCTGTCGACTCTGTTATTCCGGACGTTTCTGGCGAAATCATAACACTTGCGCTATTGCGAGTTATCTGGACGATTCTGGAACATCAGTGTCGAAACTCATACGATGATGGCTGTGTAACCGAAGACGCCTCTGCCGCCGCCATTTGCTACGGCGGTGTGGTGACCAGGGCCAAACCCTCACACAGACGAAACGGATTCTGTTGGCTGGGCAAATTCCTTCGCATATCCAAAATGCACGACTTCGCTTGGTCTCGGGGAACTTCAAGCCGGAGGCGTGTCCATCACCATGCAAGGTGACCTACATTGCCATCATACGGCATGATTGTTGAGGCCGATCGAATGAGCCTTCTAATGGACTGCGCCGTTTGGAGACCAGCCTTTGCGCTCGTCTACCAAGGGCTTCCAAGTCGTGATGAGGACACACCTCAAGAGAGAGTCAGTACATTCAACTCTCATTGATCACTGTGACAGGCCTGGTGGCAATGTGCGGGCTACGGGACAGAACTGGCACGTTGATGCATCTCTGCTGAGAGTTGTGATGATATGGACTTCGCCCCAGGTGAGTCAAGCCTCCACAAAAGGTCTCTCCTTTATCAAACACGAGCCATTCACTGCTCGAGGATGACTTCGCCTCCTGTCCTGCCGTGTCCCATCTTCCCGTGGTCCAAGAGATAAACGGTCATGGGACCTGACTGATTCGCGTCCAGAAGGACCGGCAAGTCGCCCCAAGATCTGGTAGGCCCGTTGAAGAACGTGGGATAGCTGTCAAGTGACCTCGGCGTCCTTCCATTTCCTATCTCGACTTCACACGCCCTCCTAGGCATCGTACGCCCTGTACTGGCCTTCATGATCATCGTCGGACCTTTCCACAATCGCCACCTTCCCCGCATGCGAATTCAAATCTCACGATGCTCAGTGGTGAAGCCCCTGGACGGGCGGCCCTGAAGCCTCGACATGCTTACCAGATCCGGCCTGATGAGACGGACAGCCTGCCGTAGACTCCGAGAGAATGATCTAGGTCCATGGATCAGACACCGACAAGGACCGACGAGATACCTCATTCTACCTACCGAGTACTTCCCTGGGCCATTGCTCGAGACCTGAAGATCCTCTAAGCGCCTCGACGGGCAACGAGTGGCTATGCTCTCCATATACACGGGGTGTGTTCGGGATTATGCCATTTTCCCGGTACCGGAGCGACAGCGCAGAGTCCTCTGGGAGGCTGCTTCAACACGCAGTGGATCTTCATCCTGCAGCTCTGGAAAGCCGGAGGGGAACAATCAAGTTCCAATGCAAGCGAACGTGGTCACTGTGCGAGATCCCTCAAGGATCGTTTGGTGGACGTTGTGCTCCGGGAAGAGAAGGTATTCGAGCAGAGATTTGTGCTGTCTCAGATGCCTGAGCCGGTCGAGAAACGCGGCCGTGTTGAACGAAATGAGGCATGGCACTCGCCGTCTGTTCGACACCCTCTGCTGCCGTTTGAATTGATATCAGGCTGAAGCAGTAACTCATCAGGGGTTCGGGGTCAGTGCTTGGCTGACAGAGTGATTGAACGCTCAGCCTGAGTCAATTGAGGATTCACAGAGACAAGTGTCGATGAATTGCGGCTCTGAAAGACAACAGGTTTTAGCAGTTGCTCAAAAGAGGTCAAACAACGTGGAACAAAGAAGACAGAAATTGCGGGACCTGGCATTAGGTGGCCCGTTGGGCACTCAGTCAAGGATCGACAGGAGCATTCGGCCGGCACGCGGCAGCCTTCTCACCTAGACGAGGGTGGCAAAGACAGGAGGCACACACTGATCTGCATCAAGCTTCGGGCCAGAGGCACACAACTGCTTTGATGAATGCGCGCCACGCTCGTCAAGTAACAAGGCCTTGTCTCGCTCTTGGATAGCCGCGCGATGACCTTGGAGAGGTGCGACGCGGGACCGGGTGACGGCGTGCGACTGGACGCCGTGTGCTGTATGGGGGATCGTTCCGTCAAGCGACGGACGACGTTGACGATCCCGCGCGACTAGCCGCTCCTCAGGACGTCATCTCAACTTTGAGATACTGGACCGGGCTTTATCTAAATCAATGATGACCTGATATCACTTTGTTCCCTTCCTCGTTCAACAGTCGGTTGCCTGCTCGTGGACAAAGCGCGCGGCCTCGACATCTGAAGCAAGTCAGATGCGCAGATTCCATGTTTGGTTTTGTGGGAACGCGATACTTAACTCCGAAGGGCAGCGGGTCAGGTAAGACAACATATCGTAGCCCAATCTCAAAATAAGCCAGCCGCCTTGGCTGGGAGAAGGAGGGATGCGGGACGTGCGACAGTATTGTATGCCTAAATATCACAGGTATCAGACCACTCCAAAGACGACCGGATATCATTAAGATGATATTACGGCCGCAGCGAACCGGGGTCTGTAGCGGATGCCGCCGTGCCGTCACATGATGGCATCATCCCACGCAGAAGGAAACTGGATGGGATCACGAGACCCTTCCGACATGCTACCTACATACACACTATGCATCAGCATTTGCACACACGTAGGTGACATTGAGAGAGGGAATGCCGTTGACAGCCGATGACGACGGCGGGGGAAGTGACGTTTCCGCGTCTCTGCCTCTCTCTTTCCCCTCCCCCCTCTCTGGAATGGACCAGCCGCGAACGACACGTCCAAACCACCCCGCGTTTTCTTTTCTCTCCCATTCCAACCTCACCACCACCCCGCAAGCGTCCAGCATGGCAGGCATTCTTCAGCGGTGACATATCGGGGGCTTATCGTGATACGTAAATTCGAACCCAGATTGGCGTAGAATAGGAATTGGGCTGGGCGACGGTTTCACTAGGGACGTTTTCAAGCCCCCTGATTATCCCCTCCCTCGAGCCATCATCGTCGCCTACATCATCGCGAAATTCGCTTTCAAGCCTCTTTTCACTTCGTGGCCCGTAAATGATCTCCTCTTCACATGGTGGCGACATCTGTCATTACGTGCGAATCACACGACTTCCTGAGATATGAGACCGTATCGTGTGTCTTTGCTTTTTCTTCGAAATGCAATACACAATGTCCGTATGATCCTTGAAGTTTTGTAAACCCCTCTACCTAAATCGCCTCGTCCTTTCCAAGACAAAAGAATATGCCGTACAGAATTAAGTAGGCACAGGAAATAGACAGTCTTCTAATGATTCTAACGAACTACTACGCTTATAGACATCCACGGGTTGTTTTGTAGGTGACGGCAGATTTCTCCTCGGGCCAGGTCTTGAACACGTACGGGTAGGCGGACGGAGAGAAGGGCAGAAACTAGATGATGCCAGGTTCCTGGAAGAAGGACATGATGCTGGAAAGCATACATGTGCCAGACACAACGACAACAGCAACAGAAAGACATCTTTGGCAAACGATGCGAGCATCGCTCCGTCATGGACGAACAACGTTGCATTGTCTTGATTGCATTGCGCGCACCTGAAGGAATGCTTAAAGTGATGCCTCTCCGGCGTCTCAGATGATCGATCACGTACAATGACAGCCCATACATATCGCGTATAAGTCTTTTCCCTAGCAGGAATACGGCCAACGATCGAGATACTGCCCCCTTGTTCTAGAAGGCAGATGAACTGTTGAGGCAAACATGGGGGTCTTTCAGAGGACAATTATGCGTTTAGCAAACTTTCAATGTTCAGTCATCGCCACGCAAGGGTTGCTTTCTTTTGACGACGTGTTGGAATTCGAGCATTGCATGTCAGCCTCGTTTCTGAATATCGCACCATTCCTCGGTATGTATATGCCGTGCAAGCCCTACAGGATGAGTTGAGTTTCGCTTTCTAGCCAACAACTGAGCTGATTTTAGCTATCCGCATTGTTGGACGAGAACATTGTTGGATGAACAAAAGCTTTCTCCTCCCAGACAACAAACAAGGAGTTTGTTTCCTCCAGGAGCCCGTGTTTACAATGCATACACGACAAATGGCCAGTTGTCATTGCTCTCAAGGGAAACTCGATGGGATTGGGGAGGAAGGACCAGTTTTCTTCTTTAAACTCTAACATATATTAGGCGAGAACAGCAAAGCGGTTAAAGCGGTTTGATCTTTATGCTCCCCTCCCCGTGTCTGTTCGTTCAGGCGAAGGAGGAAGGAGGAGGAAGGGCTAGACTTTGTGACACATCACGCCTACGCAATGGACAGTTTCTGGCTCCCACGCGACGGTCGGTTGTCCGTGAGGTAGACAGAGGGAGATAGACCGGTGAGACTCCGGGGGGATGACGGTGTGCGATTCGATTCGCTTTCTGGAGAACTTGGACAGGGTGGGTGTCGCTTGCTGGCCCGGGTGCCAAACGCCGGCGACGGAAGTCTAAATCTGACGAACTTATTTTTCTTCTTTTATTCTGTCAGTTGTAGCCGTTGTGTTTTAGCATCAAAGTGTCAAGTGGCGTTTGATCTGATCTCTCTCCGCACCCGAGTTCTCCAACAGAATACTGTGGTAGGCAGATGGAGAGAGCCTGAAGAGAACAACTATCCAGCCGTGCGCCGTTCGCGTTCCGGAATTGTGATGTTGGCGGCAGCTGGGACTACCCTGATGCGGGAAGCGGGAGGACAGACAAGGTCGAGGGAGCCAACACGCAAGGTTGGACTCCTCCTCAGTCCATCATGGTGTGTCATCTATTTCTGGCTTGCTGATGCTGCGCGTGAGCAATAGTTCCCGTAGGACATATGCGCCAACCTGCGGGATTGGGGAGCTATCTTTTCCCGAGCAGGAGGGTCGGCGAATGGGACGAAGAGAAGGTGAGGAGGAAAGGGCGGGCGTGCTCTTGGGAAGCAGGCGTAAGCAGGTTCAATGAAGAGGAAGGACACAGCTTACTGTGGTTTGCTTGTGTGCTTGCTTGCCTGCTGCCTGCATGCTACCGCAGGACGCTCATGTAAGAGTTGTGCGTTGATTGGTGTAACCTACTTCTTACACACAGGATTTCTTGCAAAATCCTCCCGACATGCCCGTTCATTGTGTGTTGGGTATGCGTGTGTGCGTATGTGTGTGTGTGACAGGAAGGGAGGTTGGTCAAGTCTTGAACACGTCTGGATCCGGGGTTTTTTGCATGATCAAGAATGTGCGCTGGCCTGTTCGCGACATCCGTGCAGCGGACGAAACATGGTTCGAGATGCGACAACTCGAGATTGAGTTTAGATGGGCATGAGTTCGGGGAGAGGGGCCGGGTCGGAAGAGAGTGGGACTGCTTAAGGTGCGGGTTTGAGCGGCAAGGCGTTGCTCAGAGTGGTGGACGATGTTGGCATCGCGAGGCCGGCCATGTGTCGTACCTCATCCGGTGGTTTGATAATTTCCTGCTGCATCGTGGGACTCGAGCACCATCTTATCTTCACTGTGTAAGACGTATGCGTGGGCGTGACAGGATGCCGACGGAAGACAGGGCGGGTTCAGGTCCAATGAAGCCCCTCAATAGCGGACAGGCCGGTCTACACGAACGCTTCCGAGAGCCCACGTACAGCGGCCGGGCGGCGCAATTATTGCACCTCATATGTAATTGCTTAGAGTATCCGCTGCGAAGCTGCAAGGCGCTGCGGTGGCGGGGTAGACGGTCCAGTAGGCTCGGGCAGAGTGGGTTGTGGTTGGTGGTGGTGCGTTGCTGCGCCGGGCTGGGCTTTTTCGTCACTTCACTCTGCTGGCCTCGCTGTGAAAGTTGATTCGTGAAACTGCTACCGGGCCAGGTGCGGGGGAGCAGCCTGTCAGATGGAGAGGAGGCGGAAGGAGGCAAAGCAGGAATCAGTTGTGGTTGTTGACCATGGTGGTGGTGGCGGGCGGCGGGCCAACTAGGCTGCGCGGGAGACATTCGCAGCTGAGTACAGATACAGGGCCCTGAATCGTCGATGATGGCGCCGCCGGATACCACTGAAGACCAGCCACGACGATGACGAGCCTCGGGCCGCTTTGCTACTGTCTCCAGCTTGCCTGGCTGGGTAGGTTTGACTTGGCAGTTGGCTTTGCATCGAACGATGAAGATCGACCCAAGGAATGCCACTTTGTCATTTGACTTTTTCACTCTTGAGAGAGAACACACGCGCTCACAAAGTCTGATATAATAAGCGTCAGAGACAAGCTTCTTCCTGTTTGAGTGAGGCATTTGACGATGTTGATTGGGGGGAAAGCCGGCGTCATTTTCGCAGGATGCAGGATGATGTGGGGGTGGGTGCGCCTGGAATTCGGGCCGGAAGGTTCATGTTGATTGAGTGATTTGATTTGAAGATTCTCTGCCCTTTGGCGTTTGCGAATGGCTGATAGTGGTGGCCAAGGAAGACCATGATTTGCTGCCAACGGAAACAAGAAACTGTGCCCGTTCCTCGGACTGCCCTCTCCTTCCCTCCGTCCTCGAGTCTCGTTCGCATGGGGACAGCATCCCGTGAACTGTGAGCCTGACTGGGAATAGACCGCAGCCGGACGGTGAGTGGTCAAGACGAGGATGGGGTGGCTGGGGACCGGGGACGGGGATGCGCCGGATGCTGGGGGTAAACGGGGCCGTGACATTGACGGCCCTGGGATTTGGCGCCTTTTCATTCGCAGACTGTTCGCCTTTAGCTCGATGCAGCGCTGTTTCACTTCGAGAACGACGGGATCGACCTGTGCCCCCCAGACTTTGTCGCGTTGGTCCTTCGTCGTGGTCCCTCCGACCTGTGCTGCCTTTTGTTCTTCCTCGGAGCGACTCTCTGACTGTACATCCGCAAACATACAACCAGCTTCCTGGAAGCTACCACCGGAGCTGCATTCGCCACTAGCGAGCGAGCTGAAGAAATTGCAAGTCTTGAGTCGGCGGGTTTGTGGTGTTTAGATGATACTGTTCCGAAGCAGAGCAAACTGAGGGTGACCTGCCAACCGTCCAGTTTCTGTGTAACTGTGTAAGGTTGTGCCTGTGTGCGCATGCTGACGGCCCTGGACGCAAGGTCTCTGCAGAACTGGGTCGTTTCGTTCCTCTGAGTCTGCCCGCTACGTCCATCCCATTTCATCCCATCAATCTCAGACCGTTTTTGTCCCTGTTACTGTTGCTGCTTCGGCCTCTTGGCTGGGCGCAACGTAGGATTGCCAGACGCACTTCTTGCGTGTGCGCGCGCGTATGTGCGTAAGTAACGAGGGGCAATGGGCGACGACGAGGAACTCGTGTATGTAGGTCACGTTCTTTGGCGACTGCGCTCGGCATCGAGGATGTGCTCAGCAGAGGCAACCCATGTCACTGCCACTGCCAATGCCAACGCCCAGCCCAGCGCCAGTGCCTGTTGTACCTCTCCCACCGCAAGTTTCTCTGCTGCTGGTTTGTGTCGGTGTTTGTTCCTCTGTTCCTCGACAGGCTCCTGAGCTTCCCTTGCCTTCCGTTTCCTTCCCACCAACGCTTGCACGGCTTCGCTTCGCCCAGCTTCTTTGCCATCAGCGACGTCAAATCCCCCCCGTCCGTTCCACTCGTCGACCCCCCGGGACGGACCCAGATAATATTCATTAGTTTTGTTTTCGAGAACCTCCAGTCCGGGTCTCCGTTCTTGAGGCCTCTCATTCGGCCGCCCGAGGTCCACGAACCCGCCTTTTCTCTCACAACATTGGTTATGCCCGCTTGAGGGGAGACCCTTGAAAAAAGCCGCAACATCAACAAAACATCTTGGTCGTGTAAACAAACCCAACCCAGGCAATAGAAAGTAGTGTAGGAAAAAAAAAACCGCCGTCTGGTCGGTCCTTGGCCCAGACAACGCCGAAAGCAACCGTGGAACAACAGGCCTCTGGGCTTATCCTGAGAGCCCGCAACCTTAAAACCGGTTGGCAAAAGGTTCCAAGGACGCCACACCATTGCTTCTGCTCTAGAAGGGTGACCCCTCCTTTCTCTGTCAAAGTCTCGTCTCGTTCCTGCTCGGTCGGTCGGTCGCCTCTGATCCTTCCTCCGGGCGCATTTCTTGGTTTCCCCCACGTGCTCCATGCCAGTTGGGAAAGGAATGAGGCTGAATCAGGCGTAGCCAAGCGGGTTGCGGATACTCGGCGCAGGTCTGGCGGTGGCCTGGGCTCGCTGCGGTGTCTCTGGCCTGCCGCCGATGCGGACGCTGGCCCTTGTGTAGCTGGCTTTGGCTCTGCGGTTGGGGTGTCGGTCTGGCTGTTCTTGTGTCTCGTTTCCCCGTTCTCGTTTCCCCTCCCCTCACCTTGTTTCTCTCCGCTGTCCCGTTGGCGAGCATCTTGCACTTTGCGGCATTGTCAACAATAAGAGCGGCAAGGTCGACGCCGAGTCTGTTGGCTTCTGGGAGCTTCGGGTCGAGCCGAGCAGGTTTGCAATCACTGATTCAGACCCTCGAGGGCAGAGTGAGCGAGTTGCTGAAAGCGACGGGTGAGGCAGGCCGAGACGACCGCCACATTCTCTCTCCATCGATCCATCCATCCCCCATCCTGGGCCGTCCCATCCCATCCTATCCCATCCCATCTGCCTTGGACTCCGCCCATTCCGCTGCGTCAGCCTGTCGCTCCCACCCTTCATCTCGCCCATTAGATAACCCCCCGGCGCCGCTCATCTCGCTCCCCCTCCCAGCTGGGTCCAACACTCACCGTATGTTGAATGACATGACCGACGCGTCTTTGACCCTGTGGATTTAAGTCGTGTGCTCACCGTCACCTCCACAGACACTCGTCTCTGGCACCGAACCATTGCTGCCGCTCAACGTCGCTGCAGCCATCTCCTCCGTCGTCGTCGTTCCGTTCACCTGGTGTACGATCTATGCATCTCGACTGGTCTTCATTGTCGCTGTAAGAGAGAGGCGTCTCCAAATCGGGGGAGCGGTTTGCCGCCCGGCCTGCATGGTGGAGGAGTTCTTCTGGTCTGGCAGTACGCCCTAGCCAATCGCCAGTTGGACGAGACCGCTCGGAAACGACGACAGGCCACCACGATCAAGCAGTGGTGCTCGGTTGGTCGCAAGGAAAGCAGGACCTCGACGTCGACTCTGGTTGTGCAGTGCAGCAGAAGAACAGCCGTGTAGGAGAAGGACTGCGGGTGTTGTTGCAACTGTCGCAATGGCGTCGTATACAGACTTGCCGGGCTCTGCGCCCACAGGCAAGCTGTCGAAGTCGCGCAGCAAGACGGTGGTCAAGCCGATATTGAAAAAGTTGTCGCACTCGGAGAAGAATTCGCTCGACCTAGACCGTGGTTGGGATGAGCAGACGTCGTTTGGCAACTACGGTGGGAGCCTGGGGAGAGAAAGGGAAGGCTCGTTTGGAGGGCGGGACGTCAGCTTCAGCATCTCGGCTACAGAGCTCAACACTGGAAACAGCAACGGAAGGAGCAAATTCAGCCACGCGCGGTCAACCAGCGGCACCTCCCACGTCAGTATAGCAACCAACGGCAGCGGCCAGCGAAACGGCAGCTTCGTCCACCCTTTCCAGCAGACGCCGCGCACCTCGACACCGCCGCTCTCGTACGCCAATTCCTTGACCAGCTTCGAGAGGGAAACCACCGCCGCCGTCCCCAGCGGCCCTCGCGACTACTCTCCCACCATCACCGAGGACGACGACGACCTGCTCGACCAGCATCACTTTGGCAAAACCTCAAGTCACCAACGCCCCAACTACCACCCAACACCCCCCTCCTCCACTACCATCGTGAACAGCTCAACATCGTATCCCCGGCGCCCGTCATTAACCAGCCGTACGTCATCTTTATCCGACATCCACACCACCGGACCCCCCTCTCTGCGCATCAACACCAGCCGCACAAACTCCAACGCAGCCTCGTCGCGACTCGTCCACGTCTCAAGCCACTCCGACATCAACATTGTCGGCAGGAAGTCAGAGTCTGCCACGGTCTCCAGCACTGCGCCTACCTTTTCGCCATTATCAACAACGTCCCCTTCCACGTCAACCACCGCCATGTCTCCCCTGCGAACCTCTCTCGAGGGCTTCCGCCTCCGCTCCCGCTCTGAGCTGGACTCCAACTACCACCAGGAACGCATCCGAGAGGAGAGACGCCGCTGGCAGGAGAAGGAGCGCCTCAAGGACGCCAAGAAGGCCAAAGAAGACCAGCGCAAGCAGGAGCGCGCAAACCTGAAGGAAGCCCAGCGTTTTGAGAAGGAACAGCAGATGTTGCAACAAGAGCAGCAAATCCAGGCCAAGCGAGAGGCCAAGGAGGCTGCACGCAAGCAGAGCTTCACCAACAGCGCCCGCAACAGCTCCAGCGAAATCATCCGCCCTTCCATCAGCCGGAAGAAGACTGCCCCTGATGCCGAGAAGGTGGCCATGGGCGAGCTTGGATTTGCCGGTCGCAGCTACGAGAGTACCAACCAAGGCCAGGCGCCTGTTGCTGACCAGAGCACCTTCGAGGGTCCTCGCCGCTCCCTGACAGCCAAGCGCAAGACTCAGGGTGCCTGGACCAGCTTCGTCTTGTGGTTCCGGACTAGAATTCTGCGGCTGAACAACATGGCCAAGCGCTAAACTTCTCTCTACATATCTTTCTACGCCCACTCTTGATCTGTCACGTCAAGTTGCAGAGGACCCCTCTCTCAGGGGCGGATCCAACGCAACTTGACGCCACATATCTCAACCATCACGGAACATGATACACAAGCGACCGCTTCCAGCATGATTAAGACAGATTCGATCATCATGACACGGGCAGACAGAACTTGTCACCTGCATTTTTCACATTCACCATATACCCCCAAACACCACACACCGCCCTTTCACGCGCAATGCCTCCTTTTACGACATTGCCAGTGCCCTTTCAGAGGCTTGGGCACCTTTCATCACTATTTCACGCTCTCACATCCCACGATTATGAACGGCATTCACACGAAGTATCGGCATGGGCAGATGAGCAAAAAAAGAAAAAGGTTTCTATTTCCTTCGTTTTATATTATGGATCGGCATGGCGTTTTCGGAATCTTTGTCTCTCTCTCTGGCATGAGACACCACCACACATCACCTCCCCCAGGAAAAGGAAGGGAGGACACTCGCTTGGGTGCCGTTGGAAACGGCTTGGACAGACTTTGGAAGGCACCCCGACCTCGGCTCAAGGGCATTCGAGGAGGGACCTTTGGTTTGGGACGGCGTTTGGTTCGAGCGAGCGATCAAGCAAGCGAAACGGGCTCGTCTGGCCTAGAACAGGCAGACTGCTTCCTGCAGTGGAAAGCCGGGCCGTATGTAGAAGTATAGAGTCAATGGATTGGCTCCTTCAGGTCATACTCGATTTCTCCTCCTGCTCCCCATGTGATATTTCATCTGCTGAATAATGATGCCCCCCCGCCGAGCCAGTTGCGGTGAGGCTTCATCCCGTCGTCCGACTACAAGCCATCCGGTAGACAAGCTCTTTCGCAGAGGCTTCTGTCGAAGCATTCCCGTCCGCCGCGCGCCGCGTTAGCTTCAGAGCTTGCCCGTAGTGGGATGGCGGGGTAAATGTGTCAAAACACAAACGCTGACGCCCCTAGCGCCCACAAGCCGGGCCATCGTGGGAGTTCGTTGATCATGGGGGACCCTGGAATCGCAGGCGTCCCGTCGCGGGGCGCGTGTTTGAGCATCTTATCTGTTTTCCCGTGGCGAAACGGGTGACCTCGGCGCCTGTGACATTTCACAATGTAAGCGATGCAACCCCCATCTTGCGCCTTCACATCGTGGTATCTGCGGAGTAAGTAGCGTACTATGTAGGTCCCCCTTGCGATTAACACTGGAGCTATAATATCCCGGCAGAGAATGGACATGTTCGTGGTGATAATGGCTTGGCGGACGGGGTAGGCGCTAAGTGTTCTTCAGGTCGCGTGAGTGGTGTCCCAGACATCACAATCACAGTCCGACCGACGGGAGATCGGCTGGATGAATCGACCGACCTGGTGAGAGCTCAGGTACGTGTATTCCGTAGAGCGGTCTGGGTCTTATCGATAGCGCTGACCTAAGGTAAGACTAGAAGACTACCTAGGTACCTGATGAACTAAGGTACCTACCTACCTTACCACAGGCAGAGGGACGAATGGATATCAGACCGCTTGCAGCGTTTTCTGACGCTGGAGCGGTCTGCACGGCACGGAGACAGACTGCGGACGGGATACAAATAGAAACTTGGCATCAGATTTAATAGGGCCCAGTGATGGAAACAGCCGGGCTGCACATATCGGTGCATCATGTCCTTGACAGAGCCAACTCCCTCGTTCCTGAACGTGACTGTTATTGTATGAGGTGAGCATCATCTGGCCGTGCTGCATTGCTTACCTTACTTTCGTGTGCCTCACAAGCTTATTACCCAGAATATTCCCGACGGCTCGCACCACTTGCCATGCCGAGGCAGGAAGCTCCTGTGAAGATGATCATCCCTGCATTACCTCGCTGGTAGGCTATCGCACCTGCTGAAATATGGGGCTTTCAGCTGCTAGGTAAGCTCGGCGCCGTGAGGAAAGGATAGAGCTTCCACGTCTTGTGGCTCCAGTGGATCCCGAGTGCGTGGAAATGGGACGTGACGGGAGACACTGGCGTCGCTCCCGTACCAAACATCGACAGCCAGATCTGGAGCAACCTACCCAAGATAGTGCGAGCTAAGAGATCTAGAGCCCCGAATCTGTTTCGTTTCATCAACCATTTTCGCCCTAAAGGCAGACAGCCCAAGCACCCTGAGAATCCCACGGCAACCCAACGTCCGTCCGTTCGCTGATGAGGCAGAGACGACACAACCAACACACTGCAAAGCTCCAACTCTCCCCCGTCCTACCTCACCTTACCCCAAGCTCCGAAACTCTAAAGCTCCAGCCGAGCCTGAACTTCAAAGCTCCCGCCCCCAACGTCTTCCCAACGGCATCTGATGCCGGTTGCCTGAGCTGTAATAGCAGGAACGGTCATTTCATCCTGTGTTCCGCCTCGCGGTGCACTCTCCTTCAGCCCCTCGTCCTTTTTTTCTCGTATTCCACGATAGTTGCTTGACCGTCACCACTGCTTCCATCGCAACGTACGGCCCAGCTTCTCTGTGGAACGAAGGGACTAGAGAATAACACAGCTTAAACCTCAATTGAGTCCGGGATCATGGCTCCGAACCGCAAATACGCCAATTACCCCGGCGCCCGGGAGGGCCCGACCCAGGTCAACACCAACATCCAGAAGGAGGATCAGAACCCCGTCCTTCGCGGCTGGCCTCTAGTCGCTGGCTCAACCATGTACGTTCAGTCGCTCATTGTGACCCATGGCCCACTCACTAACCTCCAACACAGTCTTGCAAACTCCGGCGCCGTCCAGCGCTTCTTCTGGAGCAACGCCAAATTCGGTTCCATTAGGGACCTTCCAGGTCTGGATGATTACAGATACCGCTTCGCCGTTGGTATGCCCAGACCTATATTCTGTTGTAGAATCTAACTCAGTCGCCAGCCCGACGTCATCTGTCTCTCCGAGACGGGATCCCACCCGGACCCCATCCCCTTCTCAGCAGAAGTCACCACTCCGGCGCCAGCAGACCAGCCGGCCCGCTACCTCTCCAGCGCAGACTACCATGCCCTTTACAAGACGGGCGCCGTCACCCCACTCGACGTCGTCCAGGCCCTGCTGCCCCTGATCCGACGCGCCGAGGGCCACCCGCCGCCTCAGACGGGTCCGTATGCGAACGCTTGGGTGGCATCCCACGGCCGCGAAGACCTCGCCATTGACGCTGCCCGAGCTTCCACCGAAAGATGGCGCCGCGGCGAGCCCTTGGGACCTCTCGACGGTGTTCCCATTGGAGTGAAGGATGACATCGACGTGAAGGGATACGTCAGCCACAACGGCATGCAGTACCGGCCCGACCTGCCCTGGTTCAAGCCCGCAGAAAAGACTTGGTGGCCTGTCGAACAGCTCGAGGCAGCCGGTGCCATTGTTCTGGGCAAGAATGCCATGCATGAGCTCGGTGGTGGTCAGTCACAAACCCCCTTTCTCATCTAGTATAAGCGCAAGCTAACCTCCCACGCAGACACCAACGGCTGCAACGTGAGAAACAAACCCAGCTCCCATTGATTGCCATTGCTAACCCTCCTAGCCTCGTTGGGGAACGCCCACAAACTGGCACAACAAGTCCTACTACCCCGGCGGATCATCCTCCGGAGGCGGGTCCGCCCTCGGCGCCGGCATCGTCCCCATCTCCATCGGCACCGACGCCGGCGGCTCCATCCGCATCCCCTCCTCCTTCAACGGCATCTACGGCCTCAAGCCCTCCCACCACCGCACATGCGCCATGAACTCCTCCATGTGCGTCGTCGGGCCCCTCGCCGCCACCGTCTCAGACCTCACCATCGCCTACCGCCTCATGTCGCGGCCCAACCCCGATGACCCGATCCAAGGCCTCTACACCCCGTCCATCCCGCCCTCGCCCTCCGCCCCCAAGACGATCGCCATCGACGAGGCGTGGTGGTCCAAGGCCTCCGGTCCCGTCGCCTCCATCTGCCGCGCCGCCGTCGACAACTTCAAATCCCAGGGCTACTCCGTCGTCAACATCCGCATCCCCTACCTCCGCGAGATCCAGCTCATGCACTCCGCCACCTGCGTGACCGAGATGCAGGACCTCGCCCGCCACCGCCACCCGGACCCGGCCGCCTGGCAGTCCATCATCAACCACGCTAACAAGGTCACCATGTCCGTCGGCACCCAGACCCCCGCCGGCGACTACATGAAGTACAACCAGCTGCGCGACCTGCTCATGAAGCACCTCGCCCACCTCTTCGAGGAGAACCCCGGCATGCTCATCGTCACCCCCACCACGCCCCTCCCCGGCTGGCCCAAGCACCCCGGCGACGAGGCCTACGGCGTCTCCGACACCAACACCACCATCGCCAACATGAGCTACGTCTACGTCGCCAACGTCAGCGGGTGTCCCGCCGTCACCGCGCCTGTCGGCTACGTCGACCCCGTCCAGGGCGAGGGCAAGATCCCCGTTGGGCTGATGGCCATGGCGGAGTGGGGATGCGAGGAGCAGCTGCTCGGCTGGGCGCGCGAGGCGGAGACGTATCTACACAAGGAGGGACGGCAGAGGCCCGAGGGTTGGGTGGACGTGATTGAGATGACCAAGAACGGAGGTCTCGAAGCCAAGAAGAACATCTAAAAACAGTACGGCACTTTTCGTGGAAAAGAAAAGAGGGGGAAAAGGTGGTTGTGATATATCACATCATATTCTTGTAGTGTTTGGATAACAATAACCGGAATTCTATCAAGCGCTAAAGACAGTACAAAGAGGCAAGTAGCTGTCGCGTCTACCGCTCTCATCCATAATCGTTATCATCACATCGTACCAAATGAGCTGTCCCACCTGCTCTCAGAATGTGAGTCTTGTCCTCACTTGGCGAGGAACTTGGACGCCAAGCCCATAAAACCGCCCTTCTGCTCCCCCTGGCTCTTGAAGTACATCTTGAGCGCCATTTCGCCGGCCTGCTGGATCGCCGACTCCTTGCTGGTGCCCTCTGCGACCTTGCCCTGCGACTGACGCTGGTCGAACAACTGGAACACACACTCACGCGTTAGCCATCCCGTCTCCGGTGTGGCATGGAGAAAAAAAAGACTTACCCGACTAGCCTCCGCCATGGCAAGTCCCATGAACCCGCCCTGGCTCTGCTTCTGCCCGCCCGTCTCGCCGCTCGAGAACATCTTGAGCGCCTGCATCGCGGCCGCGGCACCGAGGCCCTTGTCGTCCGCCTTCTCGCCGTCGTCGTCGTCGCCAAAGAACTTCTTGTGCTTCTTGACGGCATCTGTTTTTACCAAAAATAGACATATGAGTATGAGTATCGCAACACATACCACAAGCAACAGAACTCCGTAGTAATGCAAGGATCGCAGGAGTGTCAACCTGAACGACAAAAAACACATACCGTCCTCATCAATATCTTCATTCGCCAACTGCCCCTTCTTCTGCGTCAAGGCGCCCAAGACAGTTGAGAACAGGTCCGCGTCGCCGCTGGAACCCGCGTGGCGCGAGGCCTGGTGGGCGGCCTGTCGATAATCGTCATCGTCGTCGTCGGGGAACGCGCCGCCGCCAGCGGGATAGTTGCCGCCATGAGCCTCTGCGCGTCGAATAATCAGCTTCGGGAAACTTTGTGAACAATTCTCATGTCTCTCTGCGAAAGCAAAGAAAAAGATACCTATGCGGGATCTTTCTCTCGGCAAAACAAGCCCCCCTCCCAATCCCTCATGAAATGCAATCTTGAGAAACCCGTGGAAGATCTGCAATAGATAAACCGATGTTTGGATGAAGACTAGGGGGGACCGCAGAAACCAAAAAAAGTAAATAAAATGCAAAACATCAAAAACTTACTGTCGCCTCCAGGAAGAGGTTGGCCTGTTGCGTGGTAATACACACACTATCGTCAGTAACAAGCTTTCTCGCTGGGTGAGGGGCGCGGGGTAATAGGGGGCGCCTGCCGGCACTGGGACACCTGGATGGCGGGGTAAAGATAGGTAGGGGAAGGGGAAGCTTGGGCAGCGCGTACCGTAGCCCTGCGAGGAGGACTGGTGCTGCGACGGCTTGTCGTCGTCGTCCTTGTTCAGGTACGCCTGCACCTTTGACTGCGCGAGGTCTGCGAGCTTGTCCATGTTTGTTATGTATGATACGTGATATGTGGTTGCGAAGATGCAAAGATATGAAGCAGTATATGTTCTTGTTAGGAAGAGAAGAGGGATTTACATGTGCCTGGGTTGCAAGCTCTTGTAGCTAGAAGGCCAGCCACGTCTCCGCAGGACAGACGGGCGATCAATTGTCTCAGGACACCCTGAGTTGGCCATGCACACCAGCAGCTGCGACGAGGAATATCCAACGAGCCAATGGCTGATGCGCGTTGCAGCCATAGAGGGGAGCAACATGCGTTTCTCAGCTGCCATGCCTAGCGCGCCCCGTTTCGTGAAGATTGATACCAGTGACGCAGCAGACCTGGCGTAAAGACTGGTTCAACAGCTCGCGCCTACGATACAAACGTCGTCTCCCGTCCGGCTTCGTGGGTTGACTGATGACCAGCACTGCGTGTGCCTGGCCCCCTCCACGTCTGATGTGCCTGTGCTACGGAGTCCCACCCGCCCCATTCAAGATCAACCACCATGGTCGCATCCGCAGGTGCATGCTCGTCCCGTCCAATCATGGCTTCCGTGCTGGGATGGCCTGATTTGTCCTGGATGCAAGGTCGGAGCCTGTTCAGCAGTATTCAGGGCTCAGCGCAAACGAGTTGTTTCAGGAACCTACCGGCCTTCCTGTAGACGTCTATGAGCAGCACAAGTGTGTCGATAGTGGTGGTCAAAAGTGCCTCTCAAGGCACCATACACTGTCATGTTCGACAAAAGGCCGAGGTCGTCCATGACTGGGCTTACTCACTCAGTGGTAGACAGTGGGCATGCTCACAGCAGCCGTGACCAACGGGACGCATAGTTGGAAGCCCCTCATCTGAGAGGCTCCATTTAGATATCACTTTTTCTGCAGTCCGTCCTGTCTGGCCAGGGTCTTGGCTGACCGCCAGTCGAACCGCCTCAAAATAGACAATTAGCCCGCGAGGGCCCGCCAAGCCGACAAAATTCGATGCCAGCAGCAGCATCAGGCTTGGCGGGCGGCTGGTAATTGAAAGCAACATGGCTTGAATTTCGCTGTTGAGACTGCCCATCTGAAATCTCGCGCTCCTTGTCCCATGGCCTGGTGTCGTGTTTAGGTATCTCGGTTGCTGCAAAAAAAGGCTGAAAACAAAACGGACGGCCGTATGTTCGTCATAGTCATAGTTGCGCCGTGCCCTCTTCCAGACGCCAACGCCGGAGGACATCATGAAGTTCCTCCGCCTCCCTCTCTCCGGGGGCACATGTCGATAGATGCGGCAGCGTCGACCCATTAACTAACTTTAACTGTGAGCCCCCGTGGAGTGCTCGACTGCCAGTGAACCCGCTGCATTATTGCTGCCGCCATGGCGGTTCTTCTTCTCCTTCTTAGCCCATCTAAGTCCGCAAGCGTTGCATAGCGTCTTGGGGCCACTCGGGCCTTTACGCCACTCGGGTGAATCGAGGGTACCTGTTTGACATCGTCAGAATGAACATCACTGTTGTCGCTTGGTTAAAATGAAGCCTACCGCAGTCCGTGCAGACGTATTCCTCCGAAGTCTTGAGCTTCTTCTTTTTGTCGCCTGTCCGAGGATCCCGGTCCAAAGGAATAGCAATTCCGGCATCGCCCTTGATCAAAGTTGGGCTTGCATTTCCTGTCGTGATGCCACGACTCCTCTCCCCCTCGATGTATCTCAACCCTGTCAACATCTCGATGGTATCGGTATGCGAGGCACCGCCCTCGTATCGAGCCATCTTGTCCTTCAGTGAGTCTGGACGACTTCCTGCGACACCCTCCAAAGCTTCCCGGGTGAGCGCGACGTTTAGTGCTGAAGTACGGTCATTGGAGTTATCGTTACGCGATACGCTCGGGGCGGAGGTGGTCATGGTGGTTTCTGAGGGAGTTACGTCTGATCTGCCTTCCTGACTTTGCTGCCATATCCTCTGCGACTCTTCATTTTCCATCTCTTCCTCCCTGCGAAGCTCAGCGATGCGCCTTCTCAGCCTCTCGTTCTCCATCTTGTGCTCGAGGAACGTGTCTAGCAGGCCTGCATTTTTTGTGGGGTACAGGCGCGACATCATAAACACGGCCTGACAGAAGGGCGATTGGTTGTGCGGGTTGGGGGCGAACTTGGCGGCGGCGATATGGGCATGACCGACTGACTCGAAGATGGCGTATTTACCATCCTTCTTCTTGAACCTAAAGAAGAGGCGCAGAGGGTTCCCTGAGGCAATCGACTCGTTCAGCTCTGCGACAAACACGCCTACGTCGTCTGGGTGTACGAGATCCTTGAGGAAGGTGTCGATGATCTCTTCGGAGGTGTATCCGGTTAAGTTAAGAATACTAGGAGAGACATATCGTATGCGACCATTGGCGTCGAGAATCTGAAGGAAATCTTTGAGTTCTTCGATGACCTTGGCAGGCCAGCCTCGTCGCTTCGTGAACTCGGTCAGGGTGCTGCTTCCCGCTTGTTGCATAGCTTGAGAATTGAAGCCGCCAACGGGCGGAGGCCCCCCTCCGACAACGCTGGAAGCGTCGTCGCCATTTTTCGAATAGCTGGTGTTCATGCCGGAAGGATCGTCGGTAAGGCCGTCGGGCATGGGGGTATTAACGAAGAAGTTGGACATTCCGTTGTCGTCGCCGGGGTTGTCGACGTTCATGGACATGGCATCGAAGTTCCCATATATTGTTGAGTCTAGGAGAGTAGACATCATGTTGGGGTCGGCTTCGGCCATCTGCATTGCGTCAGCACGGCTTGGGGAGCGGTAAGTAGCCATTTGATGGGGTTCAAAGGGAATGCGCCGGGGGTCGGCGGGTCAGGTGAAGGAAGAGGAGAGGTAAGCGAGAGTGGTGGAAGGGTTGGTTCGGTGAGGTCCCATGTGCATCAGGCTGTGAGGAGCAAGAGGAGGAGGAGCGGGCGGGTAGCGGGCGGGCAGCGGGCGGGGGAGCAACTAACAGCATCAAAGGCAGAGAAGTCTTGGGGCCCGAAGCCAAACATATTGGCTGGGGGCGGTTGAGGTGGTCCGTGAGACATGATTGTGGTGGTATTGTTCCAATACTGATGCTGGCACAGACGGCTTCTAACAAAGGCATTTGGCGGTTTGTGCAGCGACTCGGATGGTGCGCCGGGGGGCGATTGACCACTGAGATTGACGTCTTCGTAGTCCAGTGGTCACGGCGGCGGCGGCGGCGGCACGGCGCTGAGGTGCGAGTCCAGATAGATCTAGGCCTGGGCCTCCTGGTGGACTGTTGGCAGGCAACTCAAACCGCGATAAGGTATCGATGCTGGCTATCAGTTCCAGTGCTGCGAGGTATCCGTCGATAGGGTGTTCGATTGGAACCGCACCATGCGCACTGCAGCGCGACAGAAGCAGCAAGCAACGCAGCTGCAACAGCAGGGCCCAGTAAGCTGCACGAGCACCAGCGACAGCTCTTGCGACGACGGCTGGTGAAAGCGACTATGCCTATCTGCTTGCCGTGGACGTTGACTATCGGTTCGGGCTGGGCTCGAGCAGCTCGCGAGTGAGTTTCGGAGCAGGGCC